CTCCCTTCCACGTCCACCAATGAGGAGCCTGGAAGCCTCCGTCCGGAGCCAACTCCCCTCTAGTGCCAAAGCCCGACTTCGAAAAAATGCTCCCCCGGGTAACTGCGAGCAAGCACTCCCCATCCTTTGGTCCCACTCTCGCTAAAGCCTCTGGCTCCCACTTCCAGAGGACCTGACCCACACACGTGGAAAGAAGAGACGTGCAAAAGAAGGAAGAAGCATAAAAGAAGGCGAGCTGCATGGGCTGCACCTACTCACTTAGGAGTTCTCCGCGTCTCTCTTCATTCATTCAACTCTGCCGAAGTGCAGTTCCCTCTGGGAGCCTGGGCGCCGGGGTCGGGGAGGAGACGGCGAGCAGGGCGAAGGGAGCCCAGACACCTCGCGCAGGGAGGGAGCAGGGACAGGCGGCCGGCTGGGCAGGCAAAAGGGACCGCGGAGCTGTGCGCGAGCCGCCGGGCGGACTGGCCCTGGCCGCCAATGTGCCTTTGTTTATGTGGCTCGCGCTGCCGCTGCCAACATGCACCTAAAGTCTCCGCGCGTCAGCGCGCGTCAGCGGCCCGTTGCCCAATCGCCGCGCCGCCGAGCTCCCTGGACTCCTGGCCCGCGCTCGCTTTGGTATATTTCCGACCTGACGTCACGAATAGGGCCGATTTTAAGGTGGGAACCGCTCTGCGTTCACCTTGGTAGCCAGCTTGGGTGGTTTTTGGTGGGTTTTTTTTTTTTTTTTTTTTCCGAGAGAGGTGTGACCTCTCCCAGGTCTGTGCAGTCCGCAGCGCCGCGACACTTCACTTTCCCCGAAGCCCCCGAGCCCTCGCTGCGGCTCGGCCGCTCACAGGTGGGAGGGCGCAACAAAAGCCCGGGCGGAAGGGAACGCCGGCGTGGACCAGGTATCCCGCACCTGGAGCCGCACGGGATGGGAGGTGCCTTGCAGCGCCCTAACTTCTACCTACCCTCGTCACCCCCTTAAGCGGAAGAGCGTACAGATGTCCCATGACACGAGACGCTCAGGGGGCTCAAGCAGTTCGGGTGGGATTTCCCTACGTGGTTCATCCCTTTACTCCCTTTTCCTGTCCCAGGCCACCTCCTCTTCTGGCATATATTCATTCTCTCTCTCTCTCTCTCTCTCCCTCTCTCTCTCCCCTACCCCTCCTCCCACCCCCCCACACTGCCATCTGAAAGGGAATGGGAGTGGGGGTAGGGCCTATTTTTCTGTTTCCTTCTTTCCATGCAGTGCCCACGTTCGATTGAGGGAGTGGTGCATGGAGGGGGAGAGGAAGGAAAAAGGGTAGACCGACTGTGACCCAGCTCTTTAGAAACCCCAAAAGTCAGAGTGAAGCGTCGCCCCTTTTCCTTTCACAGACAATGCAGCCGTGCAGCAGGCAACAGGTGCGCCTTCTGCAGGAAGGTACTCTGATTCCCACCTTCTGCAAACTCTAATACTTTCGATACTCCTCGGTGTCCACCAACTTGTACCCCTTCCAAGAGTTTTAGGGAAATAAATCGACCTTCGTTTGAAACACAAGGGCTATCACAGCCTCAATGTGAGAGCCCAGAAAGGCTGGACAAGAAAAGCGGAGCGGGTGGGGACTGGGAGAGCGTCTCCGCGAAGCTAAGGTGTGAGCCTACAGCCCAGCTAGGAGAGGGGCCCGGGCGGGCTGTGGGAGCGTGCCACACGTCCGCGGCCGTCGGAGTCGCCGCCGATTCTGCTTCGCCAGTCACTTCCCCCGCCACGCCGAGGGCGCAGGGAGCTTTCTAGCAAAGTCAACGCCGCGACTCCAGAAGGCAAGCCCCATTCCTCTGTCTGCCGGCCCGAGTCGGGCGGTCGGGCGGCCTTCCTCGGGCTTCTCCCGCGGGGTTGGAATAGGCTGGGCCTTGGGAGTGAGAGTTCGGAGGCTCCCCCGCTTTTCTACTCGCGCAGAGCGTCCCAGCCGCCCCTCCTTTCTCGGCGTGGCTCGCTTCCTGGCTGCCTGGACCCTTTTGCAACTCGCCCCCCTCCTTGTGTTCTCAGTGCCGGCCGAAAGCGCCGGGGAACTATTCGGGATCCCCGGCTGTTCAGCCCTCTTCCGTAGCCCCGCCTTTGCGTACTCCCTGCTGCCCCCAGCTTGCCGGAGGCTGGGAAGGCGTTGCCATCAGATGCCCTGCGGCTGCCCCAGGAAGCCGCGGGCTCTTCTGCGCCGCAGCCTCGGGGAAACCTGCGTGACCACCTTAAGTTTCCCCCAGATGTTGCGGCTGCTGCTGCTGCAGCCGCTGCCGCCGAAGCTCCGTGGTGCCTTAGCGGGCGCGAGAAAAAAATAAAACCAGGAAGTGGGTGGGGGGGCGGCTTGTGGTGGCGGGTGAGGGTGTGTGAGTAGGGGATGAGGAGGGGAGGGCGATGAATAGCGTATTAGCATGAGCTCGGTAGCGTCAGCGCCCCGTGGGCAGAAGCGATTCCACGCGAACGAAAGGGAAAAAGTGAGAGTTTGGAGAGCAGGGGAGAAGGAAGGGGGTGGGGGTGGCGGTGACGCAGGGGCGCAGGCATTGACGCACCGGCCAGGCTGGGCCCAAAATAGCAGCAACTCCAGCTCAGAGGCGCCCTCCCGGGTTCCCTTTCCCTTCCGCGAGGGAGCAGGGCGCGGCCACGGGGAGCTTTCCTTGATCCCCGCGGTGGGCCAGGATCCCGACCGCTATTTTCAGGCAGTCGGAAATTCAAGCACAGCCACGCCGAGATGGCAGTTATTATTTTTTAATATAGTCCTAGGAAAGCAGGGTCCGGGAGAACTTCAAGGCTGTAACCACCAGCCTCCATACACAAATATTCCGGTCTAAGTAGATACATTCACTGTGCACGCTTCCCCCTCCCTCATTGCTATTAAAAACACATTCAGTTTAGGTTGGGTTGAGTCTGGGACAATTTGAAAAATGCCCTCTCAGAGAGCTGAAAAGTGTCCTGGAGTTCTTGCTCCAAGGAAGCCAAATACTGTAATATGATGCGTTATTCTTTAACAGCAACCTGTCGAGTGCGGATTCCTGATAACAGCCTTTGCCCAAGTCTTAATGCAACCAAGATTGAAGGGTCGTTTTCACAGCAGCTTATTATAACAATTATTTAGTGGGAATGGAGTGATTAAATATAACATTAAAATGAGAGAAATCGGAGACCTTTCTCATCTATTCTACCATCTGTGTAAGAGTTCTCTTCAAAGTCCTATTCTGGTTTCTAGGAAGCTTTTACTGTTTCTCAGGAAGACACGCCAGATATAAGACTGTTAAACTCGCTTAAACCAATTTTGAATAAGCTACTTCTTAGGCTGGGGTTTCTGTAGGGCCCAGATGAGCTGGGTTGGAAAGGATCCAGCATATAGATCAGAAAGTGTTTAAAAAAAAAAAAAAAGGCCACGCTCAAAACCCCACAGTATCACCGCCAATGTGTGTGTAATTGACTGATCCAGTCAGTAGGGGGCCTGACTCCACAATGTTCAAGAGAATCACACACACACACACACACACACACACACACGCACACGCACAAGCTATTTACTACCTAAGCTAAACCGAAGAGAATGTTACAGGCCCAAATAATCGTTTTGTGCTGGAATTCATAAATAACTAAAAATCTTTGATTCTCTTCTATTTTCTCCAAAAGGGAAACAGTTTGAACACATGGGATTAGGTTCACAATAGATTTTCTTTATTTCTTCCTGCTCATGTTTAACTCACTGTTAGATCACAGGAGGAAAAAATCAAACTGGTAATAAAATCTCTCATTTTATCACCAAGCAGTTCAAATTGGCCTACAGTTTGGAAAAATGAAAGCATGTTTTAAAATCCTATGATTACATGTTTAAATAAATTATAGTTTAGAAAGAGATTCCTGTGGGTGTATTTGCTAGTACATAAGAGAATGCTTTTGTGCATAGAGATTTAATTACACATATGGATTCAAAATGTAGAATTGAACAACCTTTCAGAAAATGTTAAAACGATGCTTTAGGCTAAAAGAAACTGAAATTCTGCATTTATATGACTACAACCCTTCAAGATTCTTGAACATAAATAGTTCAAATAAAGTATTTTATAACTCGATTAAAATGACAATAACAGTTTTTTCAGGCCCCTACAGCTGATGTAACTTTAAACTATTGCCATGTATAAATGTGTAAAGTTACCCCACAAATGAAGATCTATTTTCTTAATAATTTTTAAAATAAATGGGAGTAAAAATTGGTCCTATCCTCTTTTGAAACCAACTGAAATAAATTAAAAATTATTGCTAATAAGAAACACTATTGGATGACCACAGAAAAACATTTAGGAGGGTAATGTTACTATGTTATCTTTTATGATATTAACCAATATTAAGCAGAACATATTGGTATATATAAACATATTTTCATTAAAAATCAACATAAATAATATATATACTCACAGCTAAACCAAAATATTTTATTTTATGCATGGCTAAGCTGATTATACTTAATAAAATTGAGCTTTTGGCATAATTTAGAAAGCAAACATGAATGTAATCCCATAGGATTTTCTATTTTAATGCATGGGAAAGAGGCCTTTAGGGAGTTATTTCACCATTCTTCCCAAATGAACTCAGAATACACCTTACAATGCAGATACAGTGAAACAGACATATCTGTTATGCTGTAAGAGTTGAGGCAACTTTAAGATTTTTCATAATAAAATTACTTAGTAGAATCTATTGTTAGCATTAAAACATATATTTTAAATTACATTTGGACAAACTTTCATTCACAGCGTTTATTGCCATTGAGCAGTTAAGTTACATTACTGATAGAAGCAATAAATTTTCACTTTGAAAAAAATCTGTTTCTGAAAATACAAAATTAGTTTTTACTAGTGAAAGGTTTTTTGTTGTTTTGCTTTTGCCATTTCATTTACATTGACAGGATATTAATTGACAAAATTGTTTGTTTCTTTCTCATACGATGCTCAAAGAACAAGTCAATTGTGTTGTTAATATTCATATTTTGGGTAGTTGTAGATTTATTCAGTATTACTCAGCTGATTTTTATCAAAAACCACTTAACGCAAATACTTTAAAAATTATTTTACTTTGATACAGAACTCAGTACTAGAAATGTGTAAAGATGTGCAGGAAAAAAACAGCACTTTTTTTCTAGGAGCATCTTCTTGTGAATTAAAATTATAAAACTAAACATATGGTAAAACCTCATGCCACTCAAAAAGTATTTTGCATAATAAAAATCCTTCATCTTTTTGTTAATACTTGACACACAGTAACCAATTCCTAAATACTTGCTTTTAAATTAACCACTTAATATTTTCTTAAGAACTATTTTTTACTAGGCAAAGAAGAATAACTTTGGTTTTAGATTTCATTGCTAATTTTAATAAACGTAGGCATCACTAAAATGTATATAGTCCTAAAAGACATTTTAAAGGTTCTAAAAATAAGTTGCTACATGCTAAGAAAATATCAAATATCTGCAAACTCTAAGAGTAGTTAATACCATTAGTAACACTATGAGTATTAGATAGCATTTATTTAAATGTAGATAAAATACATACATTTTGCAAGTTTTTATATGTAAATCACAGCTGGCTAGTTTTGATTCTATCTTTAATGATAAAATAACCGCTTTTTTTTTTTTTCCTCAGAGTAATTGGTGGACAGAAATGTCTCAATTTAATTTAAAAAAACGAAGGTATTGATAATATTGCAACAGAGACATATATGCCCTTTCCTCATCAAAATTCTGCAATTATCAAACCTACAATTTTAACACTACAAAAGTAACTTAAAGCAAGGACCCTTATAGTGATAAGTAATAAATCTAATTACCATATCCTTTGAATAGATGTAATATAAATTTCATTGCTCACTTAAAAGTTCTAAAGTTAACAGCATAAACTTGAAGTTGAGTAATTAAGTAATCCTTATATAGACACTTATTAAAGTATTTATACATATTATCTTAAATCTACATCTATCATTTTGCCAATTAAAATTAGGACTTTAATTGCAATTAAGTAATTTAATTGCCAATTGAACAGCAAAATTGCTAAGTGACTAATTTTAATGCCTATTTTAATTACCAATCATGACTGGGGAGGGAGCTAATCAAGTTACATCAAGCAGTACCAGAGTAATGATGTGAAAAAAAAAAAAAAAGGTAGAACAAACATTCAAGGCTACATGCTTCAAAAAAAGAAACATAAATTAAATACATGCAAACACAATCCTATAAATGTATAAAATACTGTATTTCAATATCTCAATACAGAGCATGAAAGGAAACAAGATTAATTAAAGAAGTCCCTGTCAATCTTCAAAGGACAACCAAAGTCAAATTTTTATATGGTATTTACATGACACCCATACTAACCTAGATTAAAGACAAAAGCTATATACAGTTGAGAATAAAAGGCTGTTTCCTACTTTGCTGGTGAACTATTCACAGACCGGCAGTTAAAAAAAAAAATCTTAAATGAAATACCATAAAAGAAGAGAGAAACAAGTTTCCAAATGGAACAGCATGGATTTTGCATTTGAAAAGCCAACAGGGCAAGTGCAACTGAGCACTATACTCTTTCCTGGTTGTTCTTCTCAGCCACACTCACTTAAATGAAGAGTTCTACTAGAGGCCAAATGCCTATCCATAGCTGTCCCACGTTACCTTGAGAAAAACAGACACCTGGCCAATCATATTTTAAATGTATTCATGGGTAAATAAGAAAGCAGCTAGGATTACATCACATTTAAAGTTACTTAGCATGGGGTATATACCTAATTCTAATAGTCTTTCTTCATTCTATTACAATAAACATGCCCACTCAAGATAAAGGCCAAAAACCAGCAGGCAATCAGAAACACTGGTGAAAATTTTCTTGGACAACACAAACATATTTTCAAAAGTTTTTACATTCAGACTAATTCTCAGATTAGCAATATGGAAGGGCAATATTAGAGAAGGAGGTGAAGTTGAGAACTCAAAAAATAAAATGTGATTCCCTGTAGACAGTAACAATTCTAGTACTTTCTGGCTATAGGGTTTCCCTTGGCAGCCAGCCACCTCATTTATAGTAACAATGGGTATCAAATCTTCATTTAAAATAAAAGGCATGCTGCAAGATACGTATTTTATTTTTGTTGCCATATATACATACCAAAAATATACCTAGTTATGTCTACAAAAGGGCCCAAGATTATTAATGAAATATATGTAAGCCTATAACTTGAGAAAAAGCAAATTGTGCTACTTGGGATTTTATTTACTAATGGACTTCAATTCTGAAATGAAGCACAGCAGGACTTTCGGCCTGGCTTTTGAAGAAGGAACACTTTAATAATCACTGGGCCTGACAAAAGACTGCAATATCTGTTCATGACAATAACAGCTTTATAAAGCAAGTACTGTGTGACTGATTAAAGGACATACTCACTGCCTATTCAAAAGTCATGGAGATGGAGTCATTGACAAGCTCACCATCACTACTTTTCATGTTTAAAACACATCAAGTGCAGATGCTACAAGGAGAAATAAAACCTCAGCCATTAAAAGATACAAAAAACAGCTCCAGAAAACATTGCCATAACGTAGGTATATTTTAATGTGTGCTGTATAAGCTTTTCCCCTATATACACACAAAAAAGATTTTATTTGATAATAATTATTAAAAGTATGAAACTAACTCAAGCACTGGGTAACAAATCAGCCATTACAAAAGAAAAAAAAAAGGAGAAGCATCTTCTTGTAATTTCAAAATAATTCTGAAAGAACATGATATATAGACAAAGCTTCAAAATGTTAACACTTTCTGAAACTTGACTGAAAGTAAATACTTTTTCAGACTGTTCATGTCTATTTTAGTTATTCTGCTGGTCATTAGTTTACAGGAATTAATGTTTACATAGTGCCAGAAGCAAAAAGTTTTAAAAGTATATCTCTAGCTTTCAGATATCCCTTTGTAGGCAAAAGTAAACATAAAGTTTAGCAATTGTAGTAAGTTACTTTTTTGCCCTTAAGGTATTGTCTTTCCGTGTGATCTGTGTTAGTGAATAGAAAATAAAGGATACAATAAAAGACAACCACGTTTATAATCTGAGATTAAAGGCAATCAATTAAGACATTTTATTAGTCAGCAGTATATTTAAAAATGAGACCTGTGAAATATTGCAGAATCATTCCACTAGGAGAGAAGCAGCAACTTAAGTATGTTGTCACAGACATGTTGGTAGGAAAAAGCAAACTACCAGTACCACCATGTACATGCTTCAAATTAAGCTACATCAATAGTGAGTGCATGGGGCAGTGGGTACAGAAACTGGTTTGATGAGGAGGTGCTACTTAAACATTTTCTGTATTTCATATTTCTGAGAACTGTTTTCTGTAATTTCCAAAGTGTAGGAATGGTTGAAGTTTGAAAATAAATGGAGAATTTCAAATAGTTAATGAATAGATTTAGGAGCTATACTGAAACAACTAGCAGAAAACACATTTTCCGGAGTCCTTTAATTTTGTACGCTTGAAAGTATGGTTTTCCTAAAGATGGCTAATTCCTGTTTAATTAACTAGCTCTGGAAGTCATATTTTCCATTTCTCCATACTTCATCTATTAACCGGTTGATTGGCAATTTCCGACACAGTTTTGCTAAACTTTATGAATTCTGCTTCGTCCAGAGGTAGAAGGGGAAAGGAAATGGGCAATACAGAAAGGTTTTACAGCCAGAATATGACAGGGCCCCTCAAACTACAAATAGATGTTGTAGAATTTGAAATGTAGCTCTGTAGCTCAATTTATACTACAGAAATTGCGAGATGCTATCTTCCTGTTGTTATAACGTATCAGGTCAAGGGATATAAATTGTACCAGGTAATTCATTTTGCTGTTCAGAGAGTCATTAAGTTCCTCCCAGAATATATGTGATTGATATCCCTGGAGGTGAAAGGCTAAAGGAACCATATGGCAACATGTTGCATTCCGTATGCTATCTGCCCATCCGTGCTTAAGCTGTCATTAGCAACATCTGTACCTTACGGAAATCCAGCTGCGCCGACGACGGCTGACGGAATTGTACTTGGGGGGGAAATCTAGCTTAGCGCCATTAACTCGAGACTCAGAGTCTATCTACCAGGACGGATGGAAGCTTTCACAATTAGACGAGACGACACAAATGCTTTATTAAAGTTTAATTTTGAACTTCCAATTAGCGAAAGTGCATTACAAATCGATTGCAATTTCCTAGAAGGTACAGCAAGTTCTCTGCCTGCCTGCCACGTGCGAGGCGCTCCAGAGCGAGCTTTCCCTGGCTCCCGGCAGCTGAAAGGGGATGGATGGTTCAGAGCCGGTCTCCGCGTCCCAGGAAGTCCCTAAAATCCGCGCCGGCCCCACCTTCCGCAGGGCGGGAGCGTTCACGGCCTTTACCCGCCAGAGGTGGTGGGGCAGATGTTGGGGGCCGGTCCGCAGCCTTCGCGGAGTGGGGCGACGGGAGGGAGCCGCCGGGGGAGGAGAGGCGGGGGAGGAGAGGCGGGCGGGCTGGCCGCGAGAGCGGGGCCTCTATTATCTCGGCTTCTCGGGAGGAGCCTCATCTAGTCAGTCACGCAGGAGAAGTTTCTCTTTCGCTCTTCGCGCTATGCAAGCCGATTGGCTTCCTGCGCGCAGGCGAAGGGGGCGGAGGAGGGGGAGAGGAGTCGCAGAAGGGCCGCCAGGCGTTCACACCCACCCCTGCTCCCCTCCTCCCGCCCCAGACAAAGCCCTCCACTCTAGGTACAGGGTACGTTACCTGCCTGGCGCTCCCGGCCCCTCGGTCACCGCATCCCCCCGCTGGGCGCGCCTGGTACGTCCCGCTCCCCGGGCGCACAAAGTGGCGCCCCAGGCCGGATAGGTCCCCCTCTCTCGTTACGTTGGGGCGGTTTGGGGGTGGTGGGACGCGGGAAGTGAAAGCGGAGCCTGAGGCAAGGGGAACTTACTGATAAAATAGGGAAAAAAAAAAAAAAAGTCCACAAGGCCCGGGTCCTGGCCGGGAGTGAAAGAGGCCGATTACCTTTCCGGGGGTCGCGGCCGAAAGGAAGGGGAGGCGGGGAGTCGCTCGCCCCCCTCCCCCGGCCCCCGACGGCGGCGGCAGCTGCACACACAGAAGCCCATTGTCGCCGGCGCCCGGCGCGCAGCCCCGCGGACTCGGCCCCGCGGCCAAGCGCGTCAGCGGCCCCGTCAGCCCGGCCGGGCTCCGTGACGCGCGCGCAGCCCGCGCTATAAATAACCACCCGCCGGGCGGCTCGGGCGGCTTTCCAGTGACGCTAGGGCCGAGGCGCGGGAGGAGGAGGGCGAAAGGAAACAATAAAACCGCTCGCCAGCCTCCCAAGCCTCCCTCCTCCCTTCCCGGGCCGCCCGCGGCCCTCCGCGCCGCGCTCCTCTTTCCCCGCCCCGGCCCGCCCTGCGGGGAGCGCGGGGAGTAGGAGGGAAGGAGCCTGACGAGCCAGCTTCCCCCACTGTCGCCGGGGCCCCGGGGCGGGAGGGGGCTTTCCCCGCACCCCGGGGTGGCGAGGAGGGAACTTGGCGGCAAGTTTAGCGAGGGGATCGCCGTGTTCCTTTCTAGTCGAGTTAAAAAGTCCCGACGCTTCTTTCGCTCTCCTGCACATCTACTCTAGTACAGGTCGGATGTGTTTTTGTGGTAATAAGTCCTCAACCGAAAATAACAGCAAAAAATCTGTCGTCTTCAATGTAAGCATTATCTAGGTTTTAGTGGGGCCAGCCTTGCTCTAGCGTTTTAATTTGAGGGGTTGTATTATAGAAAGGGTGCCCCATAAAAGCAGCGTGGGCATGGATTCCAGGACCCAAGCTTGCAGCTCCGGTGTAATTTACAGGTCTTTTTGGCCTAGAACTTAGCATAGGCCTGGAACATAGCATAAATGAACTTTCTAAAAGTCTATAATCTCAACGTTAAAGAGATTACTTTTTAACTCTGGACTTTAATAAAGGCTCCCACTTAAAAAGGCTTTCTCTGTAGGAAAGTATTAATATTTTTGTGGAGACTTTCATTGCTAACTTCCATACTCAGGCAATTCTGTTACACGCGCTGACACTTGTGTTACTCATTAAGGAACCCATATACAACTGGTGGCAGCCTGTTTTCTTGGGACCATCAATTAATAGACTATTAAAACTCTATTTCGTCTTGAGCAAAATGTCTCAGCTATATGAACACGTTTTCTGAGGTGCTGATATAGATATAGATATAAATTTGCAGATGCAAGCAAGGTGTTGCAGTGACTTGGCATGCGTAGAGTGAGTTACAAGTATTGAGGAAATGGTTCTTAGTTCACAAGTGAGGTATAGGAGAAGGTTCTCTGAGCTTGGGTTTAGAAGATCAAGAAATTTAAGAGGTTTTTTTGAGGCTGAGTTTCACTTTTGTTGCCCAGGCTGGAGTGCAGTGGAGCAATCTCAGCTCACCGCAACCTCCGTCTCCCGGGTTCAAGCGATTCTTCTGCCTCAGCCTCCAGATAGCTGGTATTACAGGCATGCACCACCACGCCCGGCTAATTGTGTGTTTTTAGTAGAGACAGAGTTTTTCCATGTTGGTCAGGCTGGTCTCGAACTCCCGACCTCAGGTGATCCACCTGCCTGGGCCTCCCAAAGTGCTGGGATTACAGGTGTGAGCCACCACGCGCAGTGAAATTTGGGTTTTAATTGTGTCTTCACTGTACTTTTCTGTGCCACCTTGCAGAAATCATAGCCTTTCTCTGCCACACTTTCGTCATTAAAATTAAGGACTGGTGGTTCCTTTCTAAGATGCTAAAGGATATTATTGTGTCCAGAGATAAAGTTTTATCAAACAAACATAAACACCCAGTGTCTCATGGGAGACAGGTGACAAATTTGGTCTTCTGACATTTTAAAATTTTGTACATCTTAAAATATATTAGGACCACTTCAGGAAAAAAATGAATTAAAATATCCTATTAAAACTATTTTAAGAGGAAATAATATTTGTTACAGTCTGCCTCATTTACAGGCCAGCAGACGTATTTACAGTCTAATGATGTCACAGGCCCTTTCAAACACCATGTTTCTTCATGTGAGCAAATGGATTATGGGTAACAAAATGCAGTAAGACCACTTTCTCCAATTTTGCTCTCATTCCTGGTTTGTGTGGCTTTTAAGGGGAATGTTTCTGTTGAAAGACACTGAATTGTTTATCACTAAGTGGTGTTACTGAGACAAGGGCAAGTTTTCTGATTTACCTTACCAGACAGTCAGAATATGTCTTATTCTCCTGTCTTCTGTCTTCAGGTTGGTGAACGCAGAAAACATAAAAGTGGCAAAAATAAGTTTAGAGCCAGAACATTTGCTTCACATAGACACCACCAAGTGTGATCACAACTAAAAGTTAACCAATATTTTTCCAGTTCCAAAAGCACATCTGTCTCTCTTTCTCATAAAATGTTTGATATGTCTAATTTAACTTAGCCTTAAGGTTTTCTTCTGCTCCTTATAAGGAGGTATTTTTCCTTCACTGCTATTTTCCTGAAACACTGAGCTTCTCTCATAATTTTATATTAAAGCCCTTTTGCTTACTTCTTATCCCTTTTTAATGTGATCAGTTCCATTTTCCATTATTCTTGCCCTTAAAAATTTAATGGAATGAGAACTAGCACATACTGGTGAAATATGAAACATGCCCAGTTTTAGAGGGAGGGAGGAAACAAGATTAGCTTTAGAGCCAGTAGAAATATGGTAAAACAACTAGTTTCCTCAAAACAAACAAACAAAAATCATGATGAAATTTGTGAAATAGGGGACTGAAAATATGGAAAATATTTTATCTAGATCTCATTGATAACATAAAGCTTGTTACAATGTTTCAAACATAGTGAATGTTTTAGAATGTGAACATTTCCCAATCTTGTGAAGTTTCTGTCTACCTAAGGTTAAATCCTTTGAAAGACTCCTCTACAGCAACAGTATTGAAGAATTTATTAGAGAAACTACAGTGAACTCTTGCCTTATTACTCAGTTAATCCTGATCTATATTTAGAGAGTGGTGCCAGCCAGGTTGAGGCTTCAAAGGAATGAGCACAAATATTTACCATATCCTGTGCAGTAGAGTTTTGGTGATTGAAATGAAAATTCATCTTGGAAAATATCACTGAAGTTATAGTATAAGCAAATCTCAGCAACCTTCAAATGGATAAATAGAAGGTTAACAAGAAAAGTGATGAGGGATTCTCAGTATTCCAAATGAAAGAAAAGGGACAACTCAGGTTTAGAGGTAGGAGCTTTCTTAATTTAAAAGGCCAAGAAATTCAGGCAGGCAGTGTTCTTAATAAGGTTGACTAAATTCAGGAAAATTACAGGGCTCCTAACATCAGTTAGAAATGTGGACATATACACACATAACTGGCCCTTCTGACAAGGCTGTCCTGATTTTAATGGGTAATGCCTCAAGCTGCCCAGACTTTGGTATTCCGTTGATGGGAGCCACTGCAAACAACTTTATTCTTCCAGTATAAATTATCAACCTCCAACTAGGATTTGTTAACTATTAATTTTTAAAAATATTTTGTGTGGGTTTAGGGTCCTAGAGTTGTTTGCCCTGGGGTTCACTCCTGGTTCTTCTTTCCCCTCCTCTGGTCCATGTCACAGGGACACTAATCCCTGCAAACCGCATTTCCAAGCTTCCTTGTGAGCTGGTTGCCAGCTGGGTTTGAATGGCAAGCTGGAGGAGGACAGTGGAGAGCTGGAGGGTGGGAAAAGCTAGGCTGTTGCCCACCACACCCCCACATTCCAGCTCTGGCCATGTGACCCATGACCTCTTACCCTGTGCCCAGTGTTCCTTTATTCTTTCATCTTTGGAGTCATAGTGGATTCATCCTTTTGAAAAATAACTGTCCCTTTTTTGGTTTCTTAGTTCTGTTCTCACCTGGTTTACAAATTTCTTGAATTAAATGCTCCCTATGTTAAATACTTAGAGCAGTTTCTGTTTTCCTGGTTGGAGCCTGCATCCATATATCCCTTTGACAGGCATTACTGGACCGTATACATGGAAAATTCAATTATTCCTTTTTTAAATGCACTACTTAGAAGTACTAATAAAGGGTTCAAGTCTCAGAAAAGCAGGATAAAACCTAATACACTTTACAAAATCAATTTCCCAGGGGCATAATATTAAAAATTATAAACACAAAATATTACATAACTTTACATAAGTCAGAACAGGGCATATACATAGCTGAGGCTGAGACATAAATTCCACACCAATAAGAAGGGTGGCATGTAACACCTATCAAGGATTAATTTACATCATGCACTTGTGAGGCCTACTCATTCACCAGCTTGTTTGCCAATGGCCTCCACCTCCTCAGATCTTGAAAGAGAGAAAGAGAGAGAGAGAAAGAAAAAAACACCTGCATTACTAATTTGAAACCTTATTGTATATGTGATTCCTTGGAATAATATTTTGAAATCTACGTCATGTCTGTATTTTTTTTTCTCCCTGTATTTTCCTTCTCCCTGTATTTTCCGGTATTGCTTCTCTCCTCCCTCCCCACCCCTATAAGCAGATCTCTTGCTGGGTGTTCATTGTCCCAAGAAGAGGTGAAAGGGAGTACAAACAAAAATCTATAAATATTTCTGGCTTTGTTTTATAAAATCCTAAATTCTTAGGAAAAAGAATACAAAATATCTGGGAAAAGCTTCTTTCTAAAACTGTAAGAAGGATCCCCATGGGCACATACAAGGGGAGACAGAATGATTAGGTTTCCTGAGGGAGAAACAAGGACCTAAAAGCTGAAACTGGGGAGTAGCCCAAGAAAGAAGAAGCCCAGGGTAGACATGGCAAAGGAGTCTCATGAGGTTGTGGTTTTAGCATCCGGATGTATCATGGGAGATGAGTCATCACACAAATACTACCTAGACCTAACTCATCTGTACTAAAGATTGCACTAGCTCTTTCAGTTGACCAGTCTTCACCCCAGGTAGCCAAAGTGACTGGTCAGGACTTGTACGGGAGCCACCAGGGGGGATCTCTGTATTTCTCTGTTCTCTGTACTTGAACAAATATAAATTGCCACCACAGGGCATGAGCCTGTTGGAGAACAGAGCCTACACAGAGAAAACGGATCCAAGAGTTGAAGATGGAGAAACTGGGTTCTGAAGACCTTTGAGCTGTTTCTGGAGTTAGACTGATTACTGGACTCTCAAATCATACAAGTAAATTTGTTCTCTTTCAGGTAAAGTGAGTTTGATTTCTGTCATTTGAAATGAAAAGAACCCTAATTAATACACTCATCTCCAATACTTGTTCAAAGCCTTAGTGCGGCATAGGCAGTACAGAACTCAACCTGTTGACCAATATCAGTGCATACACATATGATACCAATTTATTAACTTACTGCTACTGGGCCAAGGAAAGGGAGTTGTAATATTACCACACATGTGGCATGTCAGAATCAAATTGGAGTTCCCACTTTTGTTTAAACTTCTAGGGAGGATGGAACTCTTCTTCCCACAGACATATTAAACCCTCTTATCACCACTACAGAAAATTCAGCAGTCAAAGCAAGAGACATGAAAACATAATAGCCTTTGTTCCCTGTATACCTCCCACCTTTTTATTGCTGCACCCCACCTCCGGCTTTTACTCCTAGTCAGCTAATAGTTGCCCATGCTGCTTCGTGCACTAGCCCTTTCCTTAGGCTGGAATGTACTTCCCAGTACTGTCTACCCTTCTAGGCCCAGCTCCAGTGTGCCAGCCTCTGTGAAATGTCCTCTGTTTTTTTGTTTGTTTGTTGTTGTTTTTTGAGACAGGTTCTGGCTCTGTCACCCAAGTTGGAGTGCAGTGGTGCAATCTAGGCTCACCACAACTTTCACCCTTCAGGCTGAACCCATCCTCCCACCTCAGCCTCCTGAGTAGCTGGGACTACAGGCACATGCCACCACACCCAGCTAATTTTCTTATTTTTTGTAGTGATGAGGGTCTCACCATGTTGCTCAGGCTGGTCTTGAGCTCCTGGGCTCAAGCGATTCACCCACTTTGGCCTCAAAAAGTTCTGGGATTACAGGTATGAACCACCATGTCCGGCCTCCTTTTCTGTGAAATTTTACATTTTACCTAACAGTGACATGATCCTGCACTTCATACCTCCCATGCACGTACTCTAAAATGGATCATTTACTTGTGTCACACTCTGTACATCATTCTATTTCCATTTTTTTCTGTTTATTTCTCTAGCTCTCCTACTACGAGACTCAGCTCCATGAGTGCAGGAATTCTCTCCAATTTATCTTGGAATTTTTAGGGGCCTGGCCATTAAGCTATCAATAATTATGCCTAGGGGAAATAAATAATCAAATACATTAAATGAATGACTGTGGAAGCAGAGAGATTCGTATATTTTTATAGCTGAGAACTTAGAGTTCACCTAATTCTGTGAGGTAAAATGTTTTGCAGGAATAGCAAAATTATAGATTCTAGGAGAATAAATTTTTTAATTTCATCAGAACTCATCACATGATAGCATTCTGTATTTTATACTTGCATAAATCTAGTAATATATCACAAAGTTTAAGAATCCTTATTCTTTAAATTTGTCTATCTTCTTTATTTTAAATTGAAGACCTTCTTTTATTCTCTTGAGGCATTTTATTTGCTATATATGTCAGATTCCTCTCAAGATCTATACACTATTTGTGATTATATAGTATTTTCTTATAGCCAAGAACCCAAACATTAGTTCAAATAGTAAATAAATTCAGAAACCTTAAAGAACCAAGGTAAATATAACTGAAAAAATGACTCTCTACCCATTTTATGCAAACACACACACATACATTCATATACTCGATCTTGAGTAATCCAACAATTTCAACATCTTTGTGTAGGAAGGGAGCTGCTGTCACATGAAAAGGTTACAGATGGATCCTATTTCTTATAGACTTGAAGAAATCTGGGCACACTTGGAATGAGGAGGATGAATACTGTGGAAATTGTCAATAATCTGCATGAAAATGTATCCAGTTGTCTTCATTTAGGATTGACTCAGTATAGACTATGCTATATTGGGGGAGATACTTTTCTTCTTTAATGTGAATTGTCTTTGGTGATAATCATTTGCCCTTGAGATATATATGTAGAATCCCATAGATGATCAGAAAGAATTAGGGGGCAAATATTCACTGCTACCAATGGGCAAGAATTGGAATGAAAACTCCGCAGAGACTGTGCTGTGAGAGGGTTTTTCTGTAGCATTATTTTAGACTGCCTGCCTTAGACTTTGGGAAAGGTATTGCTAAATATAATGTCCCGTGGGTTGCACTGGTTGAGAAAAGGGGCTGGACCCTTTATGAGACAGACTGCCATAAAGTTGTAAAGATACGTACCATAGAGAAAAGACGAAAGATTCTTTTAAAGAGGAAAGTACATATGCAATAGTAGACCTTGAGACAAGGAAGCCTGACTAGCAATCAGAGTATACTTTTAAGGGCATCTCTGTGAAAATTTTAAGTTTTTTGCTGTTCATTAACTACTGGGAAAGTTTCATGTAGTGCAAGGGTCCCAAGCCCCCAGGCCACAGAACAAGACCTAAGGGTCCTGGCCAGTTAGGAACCAAGCTGCACAGCAGGAGGTGAGCAGCAGGGAGAGCCAGCAAAGCTTCATCTGTATTTATAGCCACTCCCCCTTGCTGGCAGTATGCCTGAACTTCACCTCCTATCAGATCAGCAGCAGCATTAGATTCTCATAGGAGTATGAACCCTATTGTGAACTGTGCATGCGAGGGATCTAGGTTGTGTGCTCCTTATGAGGGACCATCTAGTTGCAGAAAAACAAGCTCAGGGCTCCCACCAATTCTACATTACGGTGAGTTGTAGAATTGTTTCATTGTTTATTACAATGTAATACTAATAGAAATGAAATGCACAATAAATATAATCTGCTTGAATCATCCCCCCGACCCCAGGTCCATGGAAAAATTGTCTGCCATGAAACTGGCCCCCAGTGCCAAAAAGGTAGGGGACTGTGGATTTAGTGGACAGTTTTTTACCAACATAGGGAAGTGTAACCTTCTGCACACTGCACCTCCCCAAGGCCAATGTTGTGGCCCCAACATCCTACTGGGGAGAATTCTGGCAAGTAGCAGGGAAATGTGCATCAGCCTGCAGAGGAGCATGGAGGAAAATGTGGACTGTAAACGAGCTATGGATGCTTAGGTAACTCAGGAGTGGATGGGGAAAACAAAACAAGAAAAAAAAACTTTGTTCTCAAGGGCATCAGAGCTTCCTATCAATTCTACCTTTAAACACCACCCATACCTCCAACTTCTACCAAAGGGAAAAAAAAAGTGGCTGTTTCTTTCCTCTTCCTTTAACTTTCATTATTCCTTACCTGGAATTTGGCAACAGCACCTATGTTGCCTCTTATCATCGGCCTCTCCCTCCTTGCCCTGTCCTGTGCTTGCTGAACACCTTCTTTATAAAGGTTGTCTTTCTAAAGAGCCCTGAGGCCAGTTGCAGTGGCTCACACCTATAATCCCAGCACTTTATGGGGCTTAAGAAGGCAAATCGCTTGAGCGAGGAGTTCTAGATCAGCCTGAGCAACATGGAGAAACCCCCATCTCTACAAAAAATAGAAAAATCAGCTGACATGATGGCTATGCCTATAGTCCCAGCTACAGGCTGATGCAGGAGGATTGCTTGAGCCAGGAGGTCAAGGCTGCAGTGAGCTATGATCTCACCATTGCACTCCAGCCTAAGCAACGGAGCAAGACCTTGTCTCAAGAACAAAACAGAACAAAAACAATTAGAGAGCCCTGGCTCATTTCCCTTCCCAGTGTTCTGCCAATACCACCTGTAAAAACCTTTCTGCCCCTTTACTGGCCTCAGGATTTCCATTGAAATCTGCTCCTTTCATTTGAAGATTTAGGTATTCAAAGCGAGTGAATTAGGCCTTTTGTAGAACCTTAAAGATGTGTTATTTTGTTCAATTAAGAAGTGCCATTAAAGTCATTTGTCATGCTAAGAGGATTCCATTTAAAGATTTACCCATTTAAAGATTACCCAAGTTTTTAGTATTGAGACAGATGGTACCACAGTAAAAGTAGTGATGTCCTTGAAAAGCTGTCAGTTTTGTTTGGGAAAGTAAATGTTCATATAGTGATCAATAAGGCTTGTAAGATATGCATGTTTAATAATTCTATAATTAATTCTGTCAGATATTTCTGGTCCTAGATGAATCTGGGTGAAGAGAGATGGTAATATGACCTCTGATAGAGAGCATGGTGAGGTTCATGAATACAAATTTTAGATACAAATGGATTTGTCCTAACACATTAGTTGTAGAATTCATAGGCGGGACTCTTTATCTCTGCACCATATCATCGTAGTTACATCTGGGTCTTTATGGCACACGCAGCCCACTTAATTTTCTGAAAAGTAGTTACCTGAAGTTAAGTTTATGCTTGAATTTCTAATATATATAATGGACACAGTTATAAATACATAGAAGAGAAATGCAGAACCTAACGACATCCCCCTATATCCATCCCAGTGATACATGACATTGTAAAGGGACCCAGACATAGCTCTGAAATCTAGTTGGAATTCCTATTACCCCTCTCTTTTTGTATCTCTGGTCTATCTTAATAGAATGGATAGCATAGGGATGGTATATAGAGTCTTGTCCTCATCTGTATCATAGAGAACTACATGACAGATGTCTTCATAAATATCATTGATATAAGAGTTCTCCTATATCAACAACTTTATAATACATTCAACTTTGGTATTTAGATTATATGTCTTACATTCAAGAACTCTTCACCCACTGCTGCCCACGTATGCTGACAACTGTTCTGATCCCAGCAGGAGTAACAGATTTTATTTCTTAAGCACTGCAGAACTACGACCAGAGTCTTATTATTAGATGAAAGATCCTCATACTAGCTCTGCAATAGAGAAAAAAGAAAGAATTGAGATGAAAATAATCTAGGCTATTTAAAAATGCCCCACATTCAAAATTATAACTGAATTTGATTTTCAAAGGCAACACATTCAAATGCTCAAAACTCAAATGATACAAAATTGTATACAGAGAATAATTTCTATGTTATCTTTGTTCCCCTGCCATCCAGTTCTTTCCAGTCTAAACCAATATTATAAAATGTTTGTATTTTCTCACAGAGATAGTCTATGTATATAGAAGCACACACATGTTTGAGCATGAATCTTGTCTATTTTCTTTTCACAACTTATCTTGGGGATAGTTAGTATGAGCACATAAAGAGTTTAAATTGTTTTCTGGTTGCATACTATTTCATTGCAAGAATGGTCATAGTTTATGTCAGTACCAGGTAGATGGACAGTTGAGTACCAAATAGATGGAAACTTAGGTTGTTTCCAATCTTTTGCTAGGACAAAGGTATCTTTCGAACTATATCATTTTGCTTATGGGTAGGAATTTCTTTGGAATAAATTCTTAGAAGTAAAATATTTTGATGAAAGCTATGTATTGTCATTTTTTAAGGAATGTAATTTATTCCTTTTTAACTGTGATTTTAAAAATTCAAAGAAAGAAAAGGATAAAATTCGGAAAAATCAATATTCCTCATACCCCCATTGCCCGACTCACTTTTACTTTCCCCAGGAGCATATATGTTACCACTTCATATATATGCTTTCAGAGATCTTATACACACACACACACACACACACACACACGCAAGCTTACACATATGCCTATGTGCACACATGAAAGTTCATATAGGGTCATTTTATTTGTTTAGGCAAATTTGTGTTTTCTTCTGCATTGTAGTCTACAGAAATCAGAAGGTTCTTCCCAAGGTGCTGGCTGAAATGGTTCATTGTAACCATTTAAGACAGAAATATTCTCTTCTTGCCTCATGTGTCATCATCATTTAATGTGATACAATACATTCCACCAGTTTTCACTATACACATCTGTTCTGTGTGGAGGAAAGAGAGCTGTAGAAAATAACCCTGCATTTCCTTAGCCCCTAAATTTCTAACAAGATCCAATCTAGAGTTTGTCTTGTATGCCTGGTGAAGAATGGGCACCCTGTAATCCTAACCTTCCTCTAAGGATTCCCTTCTTCTTCCACTTCTGTGGGATACCTTGTTTTCTCCAACCCATCTAACCCTCTTTTTCTTTATGTTCTTTCTGTCTCTCTGTCTCCCTCCACCCCCTTACATGCATTCTCAGTCTCAAAATATATCTTCCAATAGCCTCAAAGTAAGCAAGAGTGTCTGGGAAGTACATTTTTTGAGATCTTTTACATTTCTGAAAATCTCTCTATTCTCTTTAACCACCCCCCCAACATCTGATTAATAATTTGTCCTAATAAAGTTCTAGGTGGGAAGTTTCTTTTGTTTTTTTTGTTTGTTGTTTGTTTGGTTTTTTTCAGAAATTTATAGGCATTGCTGCAGTCTTGCTGTCAAATCCAATGATATTGTGATCTCCTTTTTTTTTTTTTTTGAGATAGGGTCTCAGTCTGTTACCCAGGCTATAGTACAGTGGCACAATCATGGCTTACTGCAACCTTGACCTCCCGGGATCAAGAGATGCTCCTGCCTCAGCCTCCTGCCTCCTGAGTAGTTGGGACTACAGGCCCAAACCACCATGCTTGGCAATTTTTTATAGAGAGAAGGTTTTGCCATGGTTGCTTAAGCTGATCTCAGACTCCTAGGCTCAAGTGATTCACCCACCTCAGCCTCTCAAAGTGTTGGCATTACAGGTGTGAGCCAACCCACCCAGCCCTCATTGTGATATTTAACTCAATTTTTTCCTCTCTGGAAAATTTTATGGTCTTCTCTTTGTCCCCAGTGTCCTAAAAATTTCCAGTGATATGCCTTAATGTGATTTTATTTTTATCCATTGGTCTTTCAATCTGGAAACTACAGGTTGGGGAATTTTCTTTTCTTTTCTTTTCTTTTTAAAGATGGGGCTTCACCATGATGGCCAGGCTGGTCTTGAACTCCTGACCTCAGGTGATCCACCCACCTCGGTCTCCCAAAGTTCTAGGATTACAGGCGTGGGCCACCGCGCCCGGTGGGGAATTTTTTTAAATTACCTTATTAATGATTTCCTTCTGTAATTTTTTTCTCCCTTTTTGAAATTCTTTTTTTTTTTTTTAAATGATAGACCTCCTTGACTGGGTCTCCAGGTTTTCTATTCCCTACTCTTTTTCATCTCATTTTGTTTTTGCAGAGAAATTTTCTCAATTTTATTTTCCAACTTACATTCTTATATATTCTAAACTTTATTTATTTTTAATGTGGCAAAATACACATAAAATTTGCCATTTTAACCATTTTTGAGTATACATTTCAGTGGCTTATTAAGTACACTCACATTGTTGTGCAGCCATTGTTACCATGTATCTCCAGAACCTTTTCATCTTCCCAAACCGAAACTCTGCGCCAATTGAACAAAAACTTCAAATTCCCCTCTTCCTCAGCCTCTGGCAACCAGCATTTTATTTTCTGTCTCTATGAATTTGATTACTACTCTATGTACCTCATGTAAGTGAAATCATACACTATTTGTCCTCCTGTGACTGGCTCATTTCATTTAGCATAATGTCTTTAAGATTCATCCATGTTGCAGCATGTGTTAGAATTTTTTGCCTTTTTAAAGACTCTGTAATGTTCCACTATGTACAGTTGGGCTTCCATATCTGTGAGTTCCACATCTAGATTCAACCAATCCCAGATAAAAATTTTTCAAAAAACAATGATGTTTGTAGTGAGCAGTATAGACTTGTTTTTCTTGTGTCTATTTCCTAAACAATACATTATAGTAACTATTTTCATAGCATTTACATGGTATTAGGTACTATAAGTAATCTATAAATTGTTTAAAGTACACTGGAAGATTGTGTAGTTTATATGCAAATACTATGCCATTTTATGTTTTATTTTAATTTTTAATTTTTTTCTTTTAAAAATGAGGTCTCTCTGTTGCCCAGGTTGGAGCACAGTGGAACAATCATATTAATAGCATACTATAGCCTCAACTCCTAGGCTCAAGCGATCCTCCAGCCTCAGCTTCCAGTCCAAGTAGCTGGATCCACAGGTGTGTGCCACTACATTTGACTTACACCATTTTATATAAAGGACTTGAGAATCCATGGACTTTGGAATCCTTGAGAGGTCTCTGGGAACCAATTCTGCCCCATGGATACCAAGGGACAACTATATCATATTTTTTATACATTCATTTCTTGGCAGACACTTGGGTTGCTTCTGCATTTTGGCTGTTGTAAATAATACTACAATGAACATCGGTGTATTATATTTTTATGTGTGCTATTGTATATATTTTTATTTTTCAAGAGTTCTCTTGTTCTGTGTTCCATTTTTATACTTTTTTCTATCAAGGCTGTAATATCTTTTCTTAATTCTCTAAGG